ATGGAAGGAAAACTAAGAACATGGAAAAATTACATAACAGAATTATTCGATGATGAGAGAGATATAAACAGAATAGTAACAGAACAAGAAAACAGTGGACCGGAAATAACTAAAGAAGAGGTCATCCATGCTATAAAAATCAAAAAAGATGGAAAAGCTGCAGGGCCTGATGAGTTACACTCTGAAATTCTCAAATTGATAGAAGAGGAAAACATACACAGTCTAACAGATCTGTTCAACACCATATACAAAACAGGTATTATACCCAGGGAATGGTTGCTATCAGCGTTCGTCACTATCCCAAAAAAACATAATGCAAGGCAATGCACAGACTTTCGAACAATCAGTCTAATGAGTCATACGCTAAAAATATTTCTGAAAGTGATACATCACAGGATATACAAAACATTAGAACAAAATATCAGCGAGAGTCAATTCGGTTTCCGAGGTGGCTTAGGCCCAAAAGAAGCAATATTTGCCTTGAACGTTCTCGCCCAACGATGTATGGATATGAATCAGGATCTTTATATATGTTTCATTGATTACAACAAAGCCTTCGATCCGACACGAACAACTTATCCAGCTTCTGAAAGAGAAGAACTTAGACACCAGAGATATAAAAATTATTACGAATCTTTATTTTAATCAAAAAGCAGTGGTAAAAATAGAAGGGAATAACACCGAAGAAATAGAAATCCGTCGAGGCGTTAGGCAGGGGTGCGTGTTATCACCGATGTTATTTAACCTTTACTCAGAGGAAATAATGAAACGAGTATTGGACGATGAAACGAAAGGACTAAAAATTAACGGAGTGCCTATCAACAATATAAGACATGCGGATGATACGATCCTGATAGCTACCAACCTAAACGAATTACAGATTGCAGTAGACAAAGTTAATACATCGAGTGAAGAATTCGGACTATCACTAAACGTAAAAAATACAAAATTTATGATAATATCAAAAACAGCACAAACAATTCACAAATTCATATAAATAACCACTCCATAGTTGACAGTTATAAATACTTAGGTACAATTGTAAATAAAAATAACGACTGCTCTGAAGAAATCAAAACTAGAATAGGACAGGCGAGAACAACGTTTGTGAAAATGAAAAGAGTGCTCTGTGGCGGCGATCTCAGCTTGGATTTAAAAATCAGAATGGGGCGATGCTATGTCTTGTCGGTACTGTACTATGGTGTAGAGGCTTGGACTATGAAGAAACTGGACATAAGGAAACTGGAGGCGTTTAAAATGTGGTTGTACCGTAGAATACTTAAGGTAAAATGGACCGATAAAGTACGGTAAAAAAGCGTAAACTTCAGTACCTTGGACACGTCATGAGAGGAGAAAAGTACCAACTACTCACTTAAAGAAGAAGAAGAATTAAATCTTGTATTGCGTCACCTGGTATGTTACGTTTTGTTTTTAGAGAAAAATAATTATGCTGCTATCAAAGTTCTGAGTTTGGTATGTCTGTGTGTGGGTACGCCCTTCCAAGCTTAGTAGCTTTATAGACATCTTTTCTGAACAGCCTGAAACGATCAATTTATAACTGATTAGAAGGAGACGAGATGATGGAGGCATATTGAGACAAATTCAGTATAACCGTCATGATGTGATATTGATACTGTTGCTGAATTATTGCTTGTGTAAATAAAATTAGTTTCTCTGGATACTATGCATAATTAAATTTATAGAATAATAGAACAAATTTTTCTCCGCCCTTATTAAAGCTATTTCTGGTTCAAATAATTACTCTTCATCCTAGTGAATTCCGGATTGAAATCTCTCAAACTTTTTTAATTACCGAGAAAATACTTTAGAATTAAAAAGACTCAACTGGCACACTTTGGAATTATATTTGATTCTAATTTAAGACTTTCTGTAATCGTCATTTTGTTCGGAAAAATATAGACATTAGGTGGAAGTTGGTTAAACTTTTCAGTTTGCTGAGACTTTATCTAAGACCAAGCGATTATCTTTTATCTTTGTTGTACTCACATAAAATATTTCTACATGTTGTTCGCGTTAATATTTTTCTATTCTAATAGAACGCAACATGTACAAAAATTGTGAACTGTTTTAGAAATGACGTGTAAAGCTACCAAAGATATTTGACATAGATTTCAGTGTATTAAAGATTATCTTTTATTTTATGCACTATCGCTACGTTTTTGCAGCGTTTGTTTTATACAGGGTCATAAATCCCAACCATTTTTAAAAAATATTCTTTCTGTTCGTATTTGAGGACAGCTTCTATACAGGGTATTTTCTAATCTAATATCAATAATTAATTAATTAATTAATTGATTTATTTTTATTTTATTTATTTTAAAAAGAAAACTTCATATTAACATATGTCCTAAACTTCTTAACTTTTGACATACAGGGTGGTAAAGTTCTCAGAAATATAATATATTTTTTTCATATTTGTAATACTACTATAAGTATTCTAATGAAATTTTGCTATGTATCCAGAGACATTATTCAGTGTACCCCAATTTTTTTTAATTACACCAGTGGCGAGCGTACGCAAAATAAAAATTATTCTTACAATCTCCAATTATTTCTAATAAAATTTACACCAATGGTACACCATAAATTTCTCTTGAAATAAAAATTATTCTAACCATTTCCAATAATTTCTTGATTTATTTCAATCTGACGTACGGTTTTCCCTTAGGAAAATAAAAACCTCTTCTCTGCATAATCATAACAATATTGTTAATATGACAACATGCAGAGAAATTAGTTTTTATTTTTAAGTGAAAACAGTATAATGAAATAAAAAAAAATCAGATATTAAATCTGCTCATAAATCAATACAAATACATAAGGAAATCAGTGCCGTGCCACTGACTGTCTATGAACCAATAAAATGGTTTGGTTAATTAGGTCGCCGCTACACTTTTTGTGTGAAAAATTAAATATCTATCTAAAACAAAATATCTAATTTTTAGCTACCAACTAGTGTCCTTCAGACTGTTCTTTTTACTTTTATAGTTTTAATGAAATAACATAACATCCTAACAACAAGATAAACATAAACGATTCTTATTTTAAAAACAACCTTTTTGAAAAAAAGGAGAACATAGAATCTAAAAAGTTGTTGGAAGTGTCCTTCACGTTGAAGGATACACGCTACAGCTCTTTTCCTCATATTGCCCCTCACTCTTTGAAGTATACCTCCAGTGTTTCTTATCCTTCAGCTATTCTACAGAGTTAACTGGGGGGTGATAAACCAGACTTTTCAGATGCCCCCATAAGAAAAAGTCCAAACTTTTTAAATCTGGGGACCTAGGGGGCCACGGTTGAGTTCCGCAGCGACCTACCCATCGGTTATTAAATGTGTGATTTAAATATTCTCTTACTGCATCACTAAAGTGAGCAGGCACTAATTAACCACGGTACTTCTTCTAGAAATATTGGCAAATCCTCTTCTAAAAACAGGCGATAACTATGGCCATTTGCCTTTCTGACAGAAAAAGAGTCCAATTAAGTAATTTCTAACAGGTTCAGCCCAAACAATTACCGGAAACTGTTCTTGATATTTATATTCTACAATGCCATGGGGGTTTTCATCGGCCCAAATATGATTATTGTGGAAATTTCTGATTGTATTTCTGGAAAAGTTAGTTTCATCTGTAAATAATATTTCTTGGTCAAAAAGGGGATAATGCGCAAAAGAAATAATAGTGATAACAATATTATGACTATGCAGAGAAGACAGAGAAGAGGTTTTTATTTTTTTATTGGATTGGAGATTGTAAGAATAATTTTTATTTTAAGAGAGATCAATGTCTGCCAAAATAGACAGGTGACATAACGTACGCTCGCCACTGGTGTAATTAAAAAAAATGTGGGCACTAAATAATGCCTAGTGATGCATAGTCCCTGTGTGCGAAATTTCTAACGTTGTATTACAGATATTAAAAAAATATTTTTTTTTTACCACCCTGTATCTCTAAAGTTAAGACGATTAGGACATATGTTAATATGAAGTTTTACTTTTAAAATGGACCCATAAATCGCCTCCTTGATTATTGAAATTCAATTATAAAATATCCTGTATAGTAAAAGTAATACGCATATTTGAGTCATTTTGATATCTTTACTTATTCACAAATTTGACTTTTTAAACCTCTTCATTTCATGTAATCTGACGTATTCATACTGATAATAAGATAGGTCAAAATTCGGTATAATTAGTGAAAAATGGGTTTCTCGATTTACTGTTTAAACTAAAACAAAAATGAATACCACGAATATCGTGTTTAGAAAAATGAACAGCAGAACAAGAGGCTATATACATGGTTAGATTTCAATGGGATTATGTGAGTTACTGTTAGACCATTAAAGATACAGGTTCGATTTTATTTGTATTATGTCTTAAACCTACCAAAATTAAATTATCAGAGTCGAACAACAAATATTTTAGGAAAATCAAATTCAACTTCTAGCAATTTTAGAAAAAAAAAGTTATAAAAGTTGTACATTGACGTTCACTTTTAAAGTTTTAAATAGACACAATAAGCGAATTCCGAAGAAAATAATTTTTAACCCTTGTAAAATTAAAAATTTAATTTTTAACAAATTTGATTGTTTAATGGTCACCCATAACCATTCCGTTTCGCCACCCTGGATGCTGAAATTCGAGTGCAATATCATTTATTTGATGCATTTTTTCTATACCCAGTTTATTTTTTAAATTGTGCTTGGAATCGTGGTGTCGTGTCGTGATATATCAAAAGTGTATAATAATCAACAAACTAAGGTCCCCCGATCTCATTAGTATCTCGTTACTTTTGCAATGTTACGGTAAAATTTTGCTTAAATTCATCGCCAGAGCATCCTAATTGCTCAGCTTAAAATTACAATTTAAAGGTCAAGTTCGCGTATCTAGGTTAACTCTGTCGACGGTCCATGGTCATGAATCTGTAGGAGGTCACGTTTGTACAGCGGAAAATAATTGATGGGAAGGTGGTAGTACTTACCCCGGTGAACGTTGGCGTCAAAGTGAAGTCAGCAAAACACGAACTTAGGCCATATGTTGCGGGTTGTTATTGTTACCGCGCGGACAACAGGTTTCGTACTATTTGATATTTGCGTCGCGACGCCTTTTAGGGAGCCCTGTTTGACACGGAGCGCCACCGGCGCAATGAGCGGACAATCGATATGGTAAATGACACAAACCAATAGCGGTCATTTGCTTCACAAATGCGTCAGTCTAAACTTTGTAATTTTAAATAAGTTCTAACAAACGTTGAAGAAGATATCAAATCTCTAGCTCAATAAATTGAAGCAAAAATATGAGAATTCAAAAAATCTGCTACAATATCTCCGATATATTATGCACTGATCGGACCTGAGTAAAGTGACACTTTGAAACGTCAACTTCATTCAACAAACTCCCAAAGCATTCCAAGCGTTTCTGTTGCTGCGTGCTGTTTTGCAAAAATGTACCCAAAAACTAAAAGTTATATATAGTATATAAACTTCTTCTGATACTCGATTTATAACAACTCCTGTGTCGTTTTTAAAACTTGAAGAAATGAAGTAGGTATACAGCATCCAAGCAAACTGTAATCTATAACATTTTTAATTTTGCATTGATCAGTTTTCTGCAAATTTTAGACACTTTTGACATTGGTCAGCTGCTACGGTCACTTCACAAACCATTCAGTAAATGTATTCGTGGTGTTTTGCAAAAATGAAACCAAAAACTAATGCTCTTAGAAAATGCATCTCGTTGATAAACTTCCTTAGACATGCGTTTATTAAATATTGCACCACTCGAGCAAAAGCGGACTTGTATCTAGAGAAAAATATCTCTTTCAAAGTCCATGCCTATCTTATTATTTGTTATGGGTCTCCTGGAAATAAAAGATAAAAATAATCAACTTTTATTAATGAAATACACAATGTCTAGTTGTCTAGAGTCTAGAACATCCAGGGAATATATAGACACGACATAAATTAATGAAAATATTTTGTTCTGCTCAATAGTTTACACCCGAACCCAATCCAATCCAGTTCAATTATCAAGAACGCAATCTCAAATAACAGTTAATGGAGAAATCTGTGTGAATGACATTGAGATGAGTCTCGAGGAAATTTAAGAACAACGAAACAAGAAATTTCGAATCAAAAGATTATTGCATATATGAGCCCTGACAACTAAATGTTTAGACGATGCAAAAAATGATAAATAAGACATTTTTATATCTATTTCAATATTTTTTTTGCTTTGTCGATTGAATAATCAATTTACGCACATTGCGATAGCACAGAAAGTGCTATCGTAATGAATTATTTTTTATTTCGCATGAATTACATAGCAAAATAACGGAAACATACCAAATTTGCTGACAAATAAATATTCGAACGCGAATGTTTATTGACCAAGAAATCAATGCTATCCATGCATTGATGGTAAAATGTAGTGTGTTTAGATAAATGAGATGTCAGTTCGGGTTGTATCTTTCAAGTTTGTATAATAGTTGATACGAAAATGACGCGTGGTGTTGCAACAAACAAAAAAGTGCGAGAAATTATCATATTTCAGTACTACAGAGGTAAATCAATGCAAAAAATTTCAAATGACTTGAGTATTGCAAAATCAACAGTCGGGGATATTATAAAAAAGTATAAAGCTAGCTGTCTCTTCATAGCGTTCGTGGTAAAAGTTCAGACCGGCCCGTAAAATCAGTGAAAGAGATCGTTGTATTCAGGTCAAGATTTGTAAAACTAGAAGCGTCTTACGACAAATTCAAGCCCTACTTTTGTTAAAGGCAAAGGAAAAACGTCTATTCAGAAGAAAAAACGTTTGGATTGGGCAAAATCTAAAATATCCTGAGCAACGGAAATGTGGAGTAACGTTATCTTCAGCGACGAATCCAAATTTGATGTGTGTGTAGGCGATTTTCGAAAAAGGCTGATTCGTCCAAAATCAGAAGCCTTTCACAAAGATTGTCTACAGCGCACGGTAAAATTTCTCCAGGGTGTTATAATATGGGGGTGTATGAGTGGTAAAGGGGTTGGCAACTACGAGTTCATTGATGGTACCGAAATGCAGAAAAATACCAACAAATTTTATCAAGAAGTTTGATTCCATCAATAGAACGAACTTTTGAAAATGAAAATTTTATATTTCAACAAGACGGTGCGTCCTGCCATACTGCGAAATCAACAAAAAAGTGGTTTGGGGACGATAATATGAAAGTTTTATCGTAGCCATCAAGCAGCCCCGACTTGAATATTATTGAAACTTTAGCGCATCGGATGAAAAAGACTGCGTAACAATCCTCAGCGTACAGTTCCAGCATTAAAAGCAAAAATCACCGAAATTTGGAACACTTTCACCACCGAATATTGCAAGACTTTGGTAGATTCCATGCCAAAACGCATAAAAGCTGTTATTGCCGCGAAGGGTGATGTTACTTCTTCTTAATGTTCGATTTAAAGTAAAAGATTTAAATGCGTCCGAATATTTATTTGTCAGCAAATTCGGTATATTTTTGATATTTTGTCATGTAATTTATGTGAAATAAAAAAATAATTTATTACGATAGCACTTTTTGGTATAAAAATAAGTGCGTGATTTCATTTTTCAATCGAAAACGCAAAAAAAATCAATTTAAAATAAGTATAAATATGTTTTCTTATTATTTCGTACATCGTCCGAACAATTAGTTGTTAGGGCTCGTATTAAAGAGATAAAAGGGAAAATCTATACACTGGAAAAACCCGACCGTCTTTTAAGAAGTAGTAGAAGTTGTCCTTATACTTAAACACCCAAAACTGTGGTCTTTGGGTTTAGTTTAGTTTTACTGTCATTAGTGAATTATTAAATAATTAAGGGCGATTTGCGAGTTACCGATATACACATGACGATATACAACGCACACGGGTGAATTTTTTTTTAAGTAGCAAACATATTGTATAAAACTGGCCGAGTTTTTTGCACATGACTTCATTTCAATTAAATCCGAACAAATGTATCGAGCGAATTAATCTCTGTCAATAAATGGCTGGCCAGACTATAGGATTTTTAGTTGAACAATAAAAGAAACGGCATTCACTAAAGCCCTAGTAAAAACAACTATAAATGAAACTTGGAAAAATCAGTCTTTATGACGAAAAATGTTTTAATGGAAATTACGTCAGTTGCAGGCTCACTGCGGCGCGTTGAAATTAAATCTTTGGGGTGGGCTTAAAACCCTATTGTCTGGATTTCGAGTGTGAAATATGGGCAATAAATGACTGCGCCGGACAAAGAGGTTAAGCCGTATCCAAAATTCGAGCCAGCATTTCGCGCAATACTAAAAGACGGGAATATAATCAACGTGGGGTAGTTAATAGGTAGAAAAACTTTATTATGGACATTGGAACATTCACATAACGTATTGTCAATTAAAACGATTCATTGTTGAGCGAAATCATTTACAATATTTCAATACCCTAGTAAATTACTATTCGCTATATAGCTTTAAACGTTAAATAGATACGAATGCGCTAAACCAAGAGTCACATGACATATTCTTAAAGTCTAATATCGTGTATAGGTGCACGTAGTGGCAGTGATTTTTAAAACCTATTCCGCGTTGCCTATTTCGCCATCTAACTAATTATAATTGACTTAATTTTTGATTGAACATTAAGCCTGTATGACGCCATTTGGTTTTTACATGGCCAAATATATTTTTACACAGTTTTGACGTATGACTTTGTATGAGAAAGTTTGGCAGTCCGATACATTTTTAGATTTTTAATCTTTGTGCCGTCGATTGCATGTATGTGTTTTGGTATTATAAGTTCTGATAAAAATGAGCTTAAAAGTCATGATAGAGCCAATTCAAAAAAAAAACTGTCCCAAAAGCAAACTTGATTTGATCACATTTTTTTAAAGCAAAATTATATCAGACTTGTTAGGGTGTCATACGGGCTTAGTTGACGTCTTGCGTAGGTTTATCGTTTTTTTGCTGCAGTAAACTTGTGACGTTTGACATGAAATTTGAATGCCGACAAGCCCGCCTGTAACAGCACCATCTTGTAATTTATCTAAAATGTTTATATACGGACCAGCCAGTCGGGCTCCAAGTATTTTTGTTTGCGAAGGATGTTGGTTATTATTGTATTACCGCACAGTTGAGTCGAGGAAGACATATTTTAGTAGGTTTCAACGATTGCACCTTGCGAAATGCGTTTTATAAAATACAAATTTCTTAGCCATATAAATTCTGGGAAGCATAAATAATTATATGGGTGTGCAGTCAAGTATTTCGATCTATTTGAGAAAACTATGCCGGAACCATTAAATTAGACACGAAAATGTTGAAATATTTTAAAAACAAAAAATTCTACTACTACTAAAAGAACTTACTCATTTAAATTATAAAAAAAAAATGTATAAAAAAAATCTTTACATGTCTAGGACCAGCAGAATGACAGTTTCATCGTAAAAATGTAAATAACTAAAAAAAGGTCAAATTATAGTTTCCTTAATAGATCGAAGTACTTTGACTCGCCATTTTGGCAACTGTATATCAAAGTGCAACAACAACAACAAATAATAAAATTATAACGCTGCGCTAAACAAATTCCATAATTGTAAGTTAATTTTTGATTAAACTTTACGTGTACATAGTAAACCTTGAAGGGTTTAATATGATTCAAATTTTGGAATAATAGATTTTTACGTTAAGTTGGTTTTCATCCGTTTATTTTAGACAGACATTACGTGATTAGTGAGAAATCAGAACAAACGATTTTTCAAAAGCACGGGTAATTTGATGTAGATAGAAGGAAAGGAGTCGGTGAACAGGTCAGCTATCCAGCGTACATGTGAGTGTATTTAAAACAAATGTTTGTAAAATAAATAAACATTTTAAGGTAAAAACTTAAAGGTAACTATAATACATTTTATTACAACGCCTGACTAAAAAATTATTTATTTTACCTAGCCGCGGGTTAAAAAACCTACAAAAAATCAATACTCCACCCGATTTAATCCATTTTCTTTTGCTGGCCGTTTTGATGGGGTTGCAAGAATGGATGGTTCTTTGCTGCCAAATACGTATTGCCTTGGCCGCACCCCACGTCCATTCCAAAGAATACTTGGTTACCCTAAAAGAGTCAATACTCTAAACTAGTTTCTCTGATTTTATAGATTTAATTGGGAGAAAAAGATTTTAGTCGATTTTAAATTTGAAATTAATATGTATTATTCTGACAAAAAATATAATTAATATTTTGACGGTATTACAATTAAAATCTATTATTTATTACATGAATTACGTGAATTTTTTTTTCCAAAAATTGAGTATTCAAAAGTGAGTTCTTGTAGTATAAAACAATTATTTTTGCAAACATACAGGAATAAATTTTGACTTTGGCTGTTTAGAGTATCTTCTCCCATTATAAGGACAATGACTTGCATATTAATTAATTAATATTGCACCTACCTTTTCCATGTATGCTTTGACATAAAAATTTCCAAACAAGACAATAAAAGACATCATGTACAAAATGAGAGTATAATGCATCCATAGAGGAAATTCACAGCCAGTTCGGATACCGTTAGCACCCAAAATCAGAGCAGTGGTAAACTGGATCTGCAAAAAAGCAATGATTTAAAAAAATTGTTAACTAAGAGAATGCCGTAGTTGATACTTGCCATTTGAAGTAGTGTCAGGTATTTTTTCCACCACAAGTACTGCGTTACTCTCGGCCCTAGCACGGAAAGGCCGTAGTACGTGTACATCAAAACGTGGATGAATGAATTCACCATCGCGGGTAAGAACGCTGTAAAAATATTTTCATCGTATTTTTGGGTTCTTATGGGTCAAAAGAGAATTGGTTTTTGGGTGTTTCAGAAGAAAAACTTACTTGAGCCGCTGGGAACCCATTTGATTCCGATCCACCATAGCGAGAACATGGTAGAGTGATGATACACATGAAGGAAGGATAGTTGGGTGGTCTTCTTGCGTAAAATGAAGAAAAACGTATCGCAAAACTCTAGCAGCTTCGAGAAGTAGTACCACCATACAGCGTTTGCAATCTGAAACGACAGGAAAGGAAATATGATCCATGCCAATTGCAATAAAGTATAAAGAATTTGTTACCTGCAATTCATCTGGGTGGAATCTTGGCCTGCAAGGCTCGCAAATATAGCTGTATCTTAATCTTGTGGAGGCTGTGAGAAGCTGAAATTATAGGGTAATATTAAAAATCTCTATATAATATTTTTTTCAAGGCAGGGCGAAGAACAAACTAAATTTGGCAATAACGTTTGCTTTTTCTTTTGGGCAGTGTGCATTTTTCGTGGCGGTCAAGGCACGAAAAGTTCCTGTTGTCGTTTAGTAGGATTTGTTTGAATTATTTCACTTATTGGTTGGTTCCCATCCATTTGACTAATAACTAACAGAAAGATGTTCAGTTTCTCCAAAATTATCTAAAAATTTAGACCAGAAAACTTGGGTGCCTATAAAAAAAATTCTCGGATTTGATTTTGTATAAATGATTTTGATAAATTATATTCCACTCAAATATAAACAGTTTCAAATTGGTATTGTCTATTTATTATTTAATTCGATAACATAAAAGTAAATAAAACTAAAAGTAAAAAATGATCAGGTATTTAAATTAAAATTAAAACATAGAAACAACCAGAGAAAGGATAAAAAATGACACGAAATGACCTAGGCAGATCTGAAAGGCATCGAATATTTTAACCGAAAAGAGGGTGAGAGGACATAAATTTTAATTATTTTTTTTTAATTTTATTAATATTTATTTATGTAAATAAATGTAGTTCCGAACATGTATTTATTACTAATAAAAATTACGGAGTCGCCATTTCATATTATTTACTTGTCCAACAGCAATTTACCAATATATCAGGTACGTCTCAACGATGGGCGTGGTACAAGCCCTAATAAATTTTCAACAATCATTTGGTAATTATAAACTGGAACTGATTAGATAATTTCGTGAAAGGAAGATTTATTGATAAATTCGTTTCCCAACATTCTCGTATTAAAAGTGTCCTAAATAATAACGTCCGTTGCATAGAATGTGAATGTTATGGTTTTAAATCATACTTACTTGTATCGCAATATATCCATTCAATACGGCCATGGATAGGTTATAAGGTAAAAGCAGCCAAGTGAGCTTGAAGGGCTTTCTGTTGGCCATCAGTTTTGGTCCGGCCCATACTATGAACAAGTAAATTAGTGTGAAGATTATGGTGGGTGTCGGCGAGTCTACGAGGGCCCATCCTTTTGTCCTTTCGTCTGAAATAAAGCATGAAAATATTTCCCATTTGTGGGTAGCTTAACATAGTTTGCGAAAGCAACCATATTTACCTGACAAAGACAGGGTCCATAAGTAGTAGTCGTAAACTTGATGTACGACGGATTGTGTCGAGTTGACGAACTGAGCCATAATGGATCTATGATCTTGAGGTAATTGCAAGATTACCTAAAACAAAACGAAAATTGGTAATTAGCTGCCATTGCGGCGATACGGACGCAACCAAGGTAACGCATAATAAATAGTTTGAAAGTAAAAGCCTGATTGATACCGTAAGCGTTATTATGTCCTCGCTTTAGTGTAAGGAAAATCTGCAGGTACCGGTTTGTTGCGAGGAAAAATGAAGTTCAGAGAAATTGCGGGGAGAAAGCGTTTCCGCAACTTGCGAATTACTGACCGGACATTTGATTTGACTGTGATATTCATATGAAAGCTTTAACCAATTTGATTGAAAATATAATCCATTTAAACTAGCAAAAGCAAGTAAATATTCAAATAAAACAAATACTTTAATGAAAAAGACGTCCTTTTATAACAGATTTGATGGTGAAGTGTAATTTAGTATGCTAAATCATTTCAGAAATACAGATTACTAATTTTAAAAAATTAAAAAAAAAAAATTTAAAAATTTGATTTGCACTTTTGTTGGCTATCTCTAATGTTTCGAATATAATAATTAACTTCACTCTATTAAATTCTAATACCCAATACCCATAGATATCACGATAAATTTTACAAGGATGTGTTTTTTTGCTACCATATACTAGCAACATGGGAATGCTATATAATGCCAAGTTTCCTAAAATATCAAAATTAAATTCGTTACTGACTCAGCTTAACAACAAGAGATAATGTTCAGCTTTTAAGATTTTCACTTTCACTGCACTTTGGAATTTCTCTAAGTAAACGCTCCAAAACAGAAAGATGTAATTATATAATTCGGAAGTTGAAAAAAGACGATTAAAAAGAATACCACTTTTGGAAAGTTTTGCTCTACTTATATTTACAACAAGGGATCCTTCCCACTTCTGAGCGGATTTTCCTCTCCCAATGTTAGGTGTTCAAAGTTAACGTTTCTTGCTTGTAATTTCATTTTTCTATTCCCGTGTGTAAAATGCCTAATTACACACTGATCTAGTGTGCGGGAAACGTGACTTTACCACGTCAGTTTCGTTTCCCACGAATTCGAGCCACTTCGGACATTTCCGGGATTTTACCGCACGGATTTGGGAGCAATCGGATGTTTTCGGAGATATTTCCGACGCCTTGAATTTTGACGTTGTCAATTCTCGCGGTCATGTCAGTGAATGTATTTGTGTAGTTTTGCGAAAATGTACCCAAAACTAACGGCCGTAGAAAAAGTTTAGTATGCAACAAGTTCGGTAAACTTTTTAAGTCACTCGTTTATAAAACACTCCCTCCGCTCGTGTCAAATAAACTCGTGAGTCAAATGCCGTTTACCGCCCTTGTTGCATGATATACTATTCTCACACTAATAATGATATTAAGAATAACAATAATAACGTCAACAGTATCTGGTTTATATGTAATATATATGCAGTAGGCATAAAGTAATTTTGGGAAGTTTTGGTTAGTTTGGTTAGGTTAGTTTCCACCTGCTTGCTGCTTGTTCAATTAATTGCCTAGGCAAATGATTATATGCTCGAAATAGCTTTATACATTTACTCTAACTATTCAAAGTGAATATGATGAATATCGTGAAAATGTCTTGATCAGGAAGAATGTTAATTCAACGAGCGCATCTATGTGCTTTGCAGGACGTACATTTTTACATTTTAGGATTTTATACTATTTTTGTCACTATTTTTACCTCTATTTCTTTTCCAAATATTCTGTTGATTCTTAAAATAGCAATAATATTTTAGATATACATTATCTACAAAACTTTCAACTAGTTAAAGAAATAAGTGCACTCACGAAAATGAAATGCAAATTATTAAAGCTGTGTTTACTTTAATGTAATTAACAACGTGCTCATTTGCTATAAAACTGTATTTAAATGGCAATTATATTAATGGCCGCCAGCAAAACATCCAAAGACGGAACAAAAAGGAGCCGGACCTTCATATCAGACGGGAAGTATGAATTTTTAAGGGCATATAAAAATTTACAACATATACAGGGATTTTCCGCATATTTTTAAACCCTACAACTACAGGGTTAACAATAGTCGAAGGTCACTAAAGTTTAATAATAAAAATATGAAATGTTGGTTGATATATTTTTTTGAAGACCTTGTATATTATTTTGTTGTTTCTGTTGTAATATTTCATCCGTTGGTTTTAGAAATACATAGTGTTTTCATAGATCTATTTAGACATGATAAAAAAAAATCCGTTGTTTTTAGTAGTTACAGTTTGGTGGCGTAAAGAACTTTCACATTATTTTATAAAGACATTTTGTACTATGTAAAGAAGGAATCTCCAACCTTCTACAACTAACAAAAATTATTCTTTGAGACACTTCTCCATCTTAGGTCTGCTCTGTGACGGAATAAAAGAAAAAAATAATTTACTAAATAGACACTTACCCACCCATCCCCAATTTTAATTAAGCGCCACTTTTTGCTGATTTGGTAGTTCCAAAAGTTTGCTTATTATGAAATATGGCAATCGAGCAATGATTTACAATATTTGTTTTCGTTTCAGTTAAGCAAAGCGTAATTTAAATGAAAAAAAAAGTCTTAAAGATAAAATGGAGCTTAAATTTATATTATCCGATATTTGGTAAAGCGGTTAAAACATGGCAATAGATTAAGACGAAAATAAGCAACTATTTTAAAATGAAGAAAACATACTTATTGGACATATTTTTGAAATCGTTTAATTCCAATGGACAGTTTATTCACGCATATTGGTCAAAATCGTATTAATTGTTGATATTGTCGGCAAATTTATGTGCAATGCAAATGTATACAAAACAAACCGAAAACTTACTTTAAATATTCTTTTTCCACCGAGTTAGATACCAGAGTTTTAAAACGCCTTCCGCAAAACCATTTCGCGTAAAATAAAAAAAAATTTTCAGCAGCAGAGCAAAAATTTCAAAACGAACTCGACTATCTCCCTTTGCTCCATCGCGATAAGCGTTTATACCAAAGAAATGAAAATAGACCCGATTTGACGCGAAAATTCCGATCTCGCCGATACAATAGGAATTTGAAAAAAAAATGCACGCGAATGAAGCTTGCCGGTATTCAAGAACTAAATGATTAGACGAGAAGCAAGTCACGTTGCAAGAAGACGTCGTTTATCAGTGAAAATGCAAAATGTAGGCCGTAAGGTTGGTTGGAAGGAGTGTGGTGGTGCATGGTCCGTTGATGGGTGACGACGAACTTTCGAATTAAACCGTCGAACTTGGGTTCGAATAACAAGTTTCGTTGTACGACCGAAACGAGAAATAAAGGAAGAAAGTGATGTACCACTTCGGCGGAAGGATGTAAACGGTACCAGCTCCAAAAATTCCGTGACACTGATTTCTTGTTTCTCCCACAAAGTTAATTGATCACCGCTCGTAAAAAAAAATGTGATGGTCCGGTTAGAAGAGGAGGAAATTGATGCACATATTTAAAGCTTCGCCAGAAACTTTAGAAAATAATTTTAAATAAAAATACAATTATTATTTTCAGAAAATATTTAGCTTTTATAATTTATGACAGAATTTGTTTTCATTACTTATTTAGTTATTATATATTATATTATAGTTAGATTAGATAGAAAATAAATTGTTTGAATTAAATTCATTAATTCACACACTGCGTACATACCGTACAGTACCGAAGAAAATAATTCAGCTATCACTAAATACACTGATTAGTAGAAACTTCCTTAATTCAATAGATAAATTTAATCACATGTTTAATTTTTAAGCAACTCAACTTTACCTAAAATATTTTTAGGCCTGCTATTGAAGTTTCTAGTAGTTTCTAGTAGCTAATGGTATTCAAATGTGAGTACATTTACTTCAAGTTAATATAATTTTTTGATAGTACATTTTGAATACGATTAAAGTAAGTTAATTTTAATTACAGAAAATCAAGAAAAACAGATTAATCTACCAGAATAAATAGAGATTTCCGTACCGGCCTTAGGTGTTAATTTAAACCAATTTCTTTATTGATTAATATTGATATGAAAAGGACATATAGCTGCTAGACATAAAAGACAACTTTTGAAATAACCGTAAAAAAATAATTTTTTCTATTCCCGTCTGTAAAATACCTAAAACGGTCGTAAAAAAAGTATAGAATGCAACACGTTTGGTAAACTTTTTAAGTAACTCGATTAAACAAACACTCGTGCCGAATAAACTCGTAACTCAAATGCCATTTACCGCACTTGTTGCATAATACACTATTTTCTACTTCCTTTTGTAAAGTGCCCAATTATACACCGATGTAGCGTGTCCGAAGTGTCACTTTACCGCGTGAGTTTCTTGTGCCACGGATCCGAGCCGCTTCGGACATTTCCGGGATATTATTGCACGGGTTTAAGAGTAATCGGATGTTTTCGGAGATTTTACCGCACGGTTTGGTCTTTGCCGTTTGTCAGTTCTGACGGAGTGAATATATTCGCGTTGTTTTCCAAAATGTACCCAAAAACTGACGGTCGTAAAAAAAGTGTAGTATCCAACACGTTTGGTAAACTTTTTAAGTCACTCGTTTAACAAGCACTCGTACCAAATAATCTCGTAAGTCAAATGCCGTTTACCGCACTTGTTGCGCATGCACATGCGCAGTCAATCCAGATATGGTTTGCCAACCAATAAGACCTATCATCTCGAATTTTGCTTTTGACCAGTAAGATTTAGCGGCGTTCAACAGCATGGCTGCTGACAGTTATTAGGCAATTAGATAGTTTTTAGTTTTGATGTGCCATTTTAACGACAGTATTTGCTTAAAATATGTCCGTATGCTGTTAAATGTTCCGGGGGCAACGTGTTGAGTGTGTGAAGATCGTTGTTTGGAAAGAAAATGGCGCGAATTGAAGGTTGGTATGTGAAATTTATGGTCACGTACAAAAATTTAGCTGCCTAAGGCGCATCAATTTTAACGTCCTTATGGTTACTATATTATCTTTAATCCAGAACACATTTTAGCTATGTTCGATCTAAGCTTGAATACGCCTCGGCTGTGTGGAACCCGATTT